AACCAGTGTTCTTAACCGCTGAGCTATCTCTCCAGCCCCTATATTCTTAAAAAATTTAATCACATTTTATTTATTTTGTGTTTATGAGTGTACACATGCCATGGTGTGCATGAGGGTCAGTGGACAACTTGTGGTAGTTGGTTCTCTCCTTACACCACTGAGTCCGGGGATCAAACTCAGCCCATCAGGCTTGGCAGCAGGCACCTTTACCCGCTGAGCCATACCACTGGCTCAGCTAAGGATATTTCATTGAAACACGTGATCCGGGTTCTTCAAGGAAACCACCAAGAGCAGGTGCTGACCCCTGAGCCAGCCCAGGGAAGAGTGGCTTTTATAATACCCGAACAGCAACCTTTCTACTTTCAAACTTTCTACTGCTACAAGAAAGTCCCAGAGACTGGGTAAAATAAAAGGAAATGAGGTTTGTTTACTGCTTTGGAGCCTGGAAGTCCCCAGTGGTGTGGGCCATCAGATGTGCCTCTGGTAAGGCCATCTCATTGGCAGGGGCTCATGTGGAAGAGATCTCAGGGTGAGACAGGAAGCCAGAAAGATTCAGGGGCTAGGTCCCTCTGTGTTTATCATGACCCAGTCTTTAGGGGAACAACTGAGTCCTAGAGAGCACGATTCACCCCTTCCTATGAAATGCCCCCGTGACTTAATTATCTCCCACTAGACCACATCTGTGTGTGTGTTCACGTGTATGTGGGTGTGCATTCATGAGTACACATGTGGGCAGAGGCCAGAGGTCAGCCTCAGATGTGGTTCCTCAGGAGCTGCCCACGTTGTTTTTCGAGACAAGGTCTCTTACTGAACCTGGAGCTTATAGACTGGGCTGACTGACTGACCAACAAGCTCCAAGGAGCATCCTGTTCCCACGTCCTCCCATCCCTGAGTGCTGGCCCTGCAGGTGCACGCTGCCACACAAAGCTTTCACGTGGGATCTAAGCCTCTTGCTTGCATAGCAAGCACTCTACCCACTGAGCATCTCCCTCATGCCACATCTCCCAAAGGTCCCATTGTTGACATTCTATCACCCATCATCTCCATTCAGCACACCAGAGACCAAGCTTCCAACACCCGAACCTCTGGGTGAATCACATCACAGGGAACCACAGCAGGGTCATCACTGTGTACAGAGATGTCTGACACTGTGGCTTTGGGGAGATGGAGGTCCAGCTACCTGGCCGGGTGCACAGACAGAGTCAAGCCTCTGGCCTCAGCCTCTTCAGTGTCTTTGTGTGTGTGTGTGTGTGTGTGTGTGTGTGTGGTGTGTGGTGTGTGGTATGTGTAGTGTGTGGGGGAGTGTGTGTGGTATGTGTAGTGTGTGTGTGGTGTGTGTGGTATGTGTAGTGTGTGTGGTGTGTGTGGTATGTGTAGTGTGTGTGGGGGGTGTGTGGTATGTGTAGTGTGTGTGGGAGTGTGTGTGGTATGTGTAGTGTGTGTGTGGTGTGTGTGGTATGTGTAGTGTGTGTGGTGTGTGTGGTATGTGTAGTGTGTGGTGTGTGTGGTATGTGTAGTGTGTGGTGTGTGTGGTGTGTGTGGTATGTATGTGTGTGTGGTATGTGTGCTGTGCATGTGTGTATGGTGTGTGTGTGGTGTGTGTGTCCGTCTGTCTTCACATGTGTGTAGGGGCACAGGTGTGTGTATAGGTACATTTGCATGTGTGTGCTCATGAAAGTGGAGGTCAGAAGTTGATGCTGGGAGTTTTCCTCGACTGCTCTCCACTTTATTTACTGAGGCAGAGTCTCTCACTGAACCTGGACCTCATGCTTCAGTGAGACTACGAGCCAGCCTGCCCCATCTCTGCCTCCCAAGTGCTGGGATTATAGGCAGGCCACCACACTTGAATATGGGCTCCGGGGATCTGAACTCTGGTCCTCACGGGTGGCCAGCACTTTTTCTGCTGGGGCATCTTCCCAGTCCCTCCTTTTCTTTTTTGCCTCTGTTGCCCTTTGATCAAATTCCAACAGCTTCTACAGGAGATGCAGTCAGTGCCTGCGCGTGGGCTTTGGACACCTGGCAGCACAGAGGGAGGAAGTGGGTAAACAGCAACTCTGGACAGCTGGGACTTAAGCACCAACTCAGCTTATTCCTTTAACACACTTTTACAGATATATATTCTGACTTTTGAGACAGGGTTTCCTTTAGACCAGGCCAGCCTTTTTACTTTATCTTTTGTTCTTTTTTTTTTTTTTTTAATGTGTATGAGTGTATTGTCTGCCTGTAGGTAAGTGCATCTGTGTTGTGCAATGCCTGCAGAGGACAGAAGAGGCCATCGGAGCCCCTGGAACTGGAGTTATAGACAGT